TCCACCAACTCACTTCAAATAATCTGCTAGGTTTTAAAAAACTTTTTTAGAGTGGGGGGTGTCGCTGTGTCACCCAGGCCAGTCTCAAACTCCTGGCTTAACTAGGCCACTGGCCCACTCTCAAGTAGCTGGGATTACTGATATCAGCCACTGTGCCTAGCTCCTATAACTTTTTGTTTTGAAAAACGTTCAGGAATTGTTGAGAAAGTACAGAAACATAAATCTTAAATTTCTCCGTGGAAGGCTGTGCTGACGATCCAAATAATTTTATACTACACAACTATTTAGCTATAAAATCTTTAGCTATCAGATTAATTTCTCCCTATGAGCTAGGAAAACTGGAGTGTCCAGAGAAAATACTTAGGATAGTAAATTACATTTAACTCCTCAGCATTGGCAGCTGTTGTGGACCGAATGTTTGTCAAATTTATATGTTGAAGCCCTACCGGCCTACACGTGGCTGTATTTGGAGATGGGACCACTAAGGAAGTAATTAAGGTTAAGTGAGGTCATAAAGGTAGAGTGCTGACCTGATAGGATTAGTGTCCTTATAAGAAGATTCAGTTAGCTTGCACTTGCTTCCTCCCTCTCTTTTACACAGAGGACAGGTGTGGTGATGACATAGCAAGAGGATGGCTTTTGCAGTCTAAGCAGACTAAAACAGGCTGCCATAACAAAATACCACAGACTGGTGGCTTAAATAACGGAAGTTTATTTCTCACAGCTCTGGAGCCTGGGAAGTCCAAGATCAAGGTGCCAGCAGATTTAGTGTCTGGTGAGGGCTCTCTTCCTGGCTTGCAGACAGCTGCCTTCTTACTGTGTCCTCACACGGCCTTTCCTCTGTATTCATCCTTCTACCTTACCTTCTACAGCCATTGAATTACCAGTCTGCTGATTCTCTTCCGTCAGTAGTTTTCAAATTCATCCCATCTTCTTCTTCCCTACTAACTACAGCTCTGGTTCCAGCCCTTTCTGTATGACTACAATAGTCTCTCAGATCAATTCATATTCCATGTGTTCTTATCAGAGTAATTATCCTGACATATAAATTGGCTTATTTAAATTTTTCTGTGGTTCCCTGTTGTCTGTGGATGACTTCTAAGCTTTATAATACAGTCCCTGCCTATCTCTGTAGCTTCATCTACTAGCAAGCATTCTGATAGTATGTGTAACATCAAACTACTTTCAGTTTTCCTCCCAATCCCTGAAGAATTTTACTTTGTTTCTTCTGTTACTTTTGCCTGGCATGGGAAGGGAAGGTCCTTTATTCCTACCCTTTTTATCTAAGGAACTCTAGCTTATCCATTCTCACTTTTTGCAGAATTTCCATCTCACTTCTCCTCCCAGCCCCAGGTGTCCCTTCTCTGTCCCCTCCAGAATATTCTCAGCATCTCTCATTACATGGTTAAGTTGTTTTTAGTTTAGTTAAGGTGAATGTTTACTTCTTTTATGTAAAGAGCTGGTCATATTCATTTTAGTGCCTAAAACAATGTCTGGCTCATATTGGGTGTTCATATGTTGGTAGAGTAACCAAACATCCAGAAAGTAAAGGTGACTTTCAAGATCAGGTCATTTAGAGGGGACAAAACTGAGACTGGAAGACGAGTACCTCTTTTATTGCCTCATACTGCAGAACAGTGCTCCTTAGGGTACAGCATAAAACTGGATAAGCACAATATCTATTGTGCAATTACTAAGTCAATTTAAGCTCATTTGCTTATAATTAAGATAATTAAATTTTGCTTTATAAATCAAATTTTTACATATTGTATATATGGGGGCCTATGGTGCATGAATAGTTTTGCATGAAATTTATATAGTAACAAACAGTTAAAACAGTTGAAGTAGATAGGAAAGTCACAAGGAAGAAACAAAAATGGGCTTTTAGTGACCATACTTTGATAGTTAAAAAAATTATTGTGACATTTCCCAGGCATACTGTTTAAAAGATTACGTGGGCTGGGCTTGGTGACTCACACCTGTAATCCCAGCACTTTGGGAGGCCAAGGCAGGTGGATTACTCAAGGTCAGAAGTTCAAGACCAGCCTGGCTAACATGGTGAAACCCCATCTCTGCTAAAAATACAAAATTGCTGGGCATGGTGGTTCACGCCTGTAATCCCAGCTACTCAGGAGGCTGAGACAGGAGAATTGCTTGAATCCAGGAGGCGGAGGTTGCGGTAAGCTGAGATCGTACCATTGCACTCCAGCCTGGGAGACAAGAATGAAATTCTACCTTGGAAAAAAAAAAAAAAAAAAAAAGAAGACTATATGAGCTGTAGTATGGAAGATCTAAGGATGGAAATGGCCAAATTTGAAAAATTGCATTGTAGCTTAATAAATGCTTGAATCAAATTTGCTTGCAACTTACATATTGTGATTCTTGTACCTTTAGGTTCTTCTGTTTTCCATAGCATATTGCAGAAATCAGTTGGAGTTTAGAAACTGAGACCCATACATTGATTTGCAAAAGGATAGAGAAATATATTTTGGTCTGGGTCCATTCTCAATTTCAGGATTTTTTT